CTATTTTTTGGTGTAGTGCTTATGCTTTGAACGGACAAGATCTCGGATGAACTCACCCTTCAAAGCCTTTAGACATTTTCTGTAAACGGGTGATGAACGATATTTAATAATTTCGAACGAAGGAGAGTGGGGCTTATGTATTATGAAAACGTCTGGAAGCACTGTGAAATTAAACCTGAAACAGTTGCCGTTTTTCATTATTCATTGCGTAGTGTTCAAATGTAAGGGACGTGGAAATTTGCAAGGAAGAGAAAAGTTTTAAAATCTGTGACAAGAACGTTTCAAAATCAACTGGTTAGAAACAATTTATATCATGATTATGCTTTACGATGAAATCTTCAAAATGCTACGACAAAGGACACTAACCCGAGTGCATCTAAAATCATCATATGCGAAACCTTATTCCACCCAAATCCAACAAAACGCTGATCATATGGTGGTGTTTCAAGACGACTGATCAGTATATAAGGCTCGTAATCTGTTTGCCATAAAACCTGCAGCAAGTTTTTAACTGGCTAGTAGCATTATCTTTTGGTAAAATTTGACCGTACCTTGGCGGTAAATTCACAAAACAGTTTTCTTTCTAGTGTACCTAACTTACAGAGTACGGATGAACAGCAGACCGCCACTTGTTGTAATCGGTTGCCATATGCCCATGTAGCCAGATATCTTGACGAAAAATCTGCGTTTGGCCAGAATCCAACGTTTTTAGCAGCTCCAGTTTAGTGCTTGGAATAGGTGAATTGTCATAAGATTTGAATTCAAAAGCTGGAATCACATAGGCTGTCCTCAAAATTTGCTTCTGTTTGAGCATTATTTCTTTAAGTTTTTCGTAAAGACCTGTAACTAGGCAGTAATAACCTTAACAACCGAACTCATGTGTGAACTTTTCTATCTATTTATTAATCGCAAGAAACTAACCAGGCATTGGCAGGAAGTCTACATCCATTAAAAAAACAAACGGTGCATCCGATGTATTAAGAGCGATGTTTCTTAAATAGTTTACGGGGTAATGAGTCTAGAAAAAAAAAAGTAGCTTTTTTGATAGAACAGCCATTATCGTTATTTTTTTTCACCTGCGTCCCTGTCGCTCTATTCCACTTGGTGGAGAAAGAGAGAACCGGAGAGAACCAGCCTTTTAACTTTTCCCCCACCGGCTTCTCTTACAAAAAGAACATTTTCTTCTGCTCGTAAGGAGAATCTACCGAAAAACAGCAGTAACTCACTCCTTCTTTGAATACAGCATGCAAAGCGATGTTTGATCGACTGGAGAAACTTTTTGACAAAGAAATGTGTTGGAGAAGTTGAGAGAGTTCAAGGTCTGAACAATATACAGCTGCCGAAATGGGGCCTGCCCAATATTTAAGTACTGCTTCAAAGAAAACTAAACGATCCATGGAAAACTGCGTCACGAGGGCAACATCGTCAGCTTTCATCTAAAACATAAAATATTTGCTTTTGGAGCGTCAACTGACTTCACTGATTAAATCAAAACGTTATGAGTAGAAACAAGAAAAACGATATTAGTGTGTCAAAACTGGCTTTCTAATATTTCTTATAAAAACCTAGTATTTCATATTTCACACGAAGATAACTGACTAGATGACTGTAAGGCCGAACATAAAGATGCACTCGATAAACGATATTTCTCGCGTGTCTAAATTCGCTACACCCGTCGTCGTCATCGTCATACTCATAAACAAAATTTATATTCTGAGATTCCTAAAAGACAATGTGTAAAGTTCTAGAGAAGAGGTAGGACAATATTAAGTGATACAGCTTGACAATAACACTTGTTAAGCGCAAATCACAGTAGAAAAGATCATCAAAACTGCCATTACTTGTTTTCTACTGCAGGGCAAATTTTGTATTCGAAAAAGATTTCCATCCATATTGGCAAACATTTTATAGTAACGATTGAAAAACGCTGCATAACGACTTTGAAGCGAAGTTTTTCGAGGTGAATTCCAGTGAACAGCCTGAGTAAATAGATAAGGTCAATCAGTCAAATGATGAAACCATTTCTAATGAATAGGTGTGCTTTCTACAAAACCTTTTCTTTGCAGTCTATACTTTATACGTAAACGGCCTTTAATAATATTCAAAGTTACTTTCAACTGTGAAATACAAGTGCCGCACAATTGCTCTTTGGACTCAAAACCCATCTGGAAGTTCCATTCACAAGGTAGTCGAAAAACAGCATCTGGATTTTCGCTAATTACAGCGTTTATTATGTCCTAAAATGCAATTTTCATTGGTTAGTTGCAGATTTTCTCCTCACTTCATAACAGCCAACAGCTTCATTTACTGAAGCTTCTCCCTCCTGCTCTCCTAGTCATTCAAAGTTTGGCAAAAAAATTGCACTTCCCTACGCTATTCTAAACACTGATATTTGAAAATTATTCATAAAAATTACTTGATCGGCTAAATGCGTAAAATTTAATTCTAATAAATTTTTCTTTGTTACTTCCTTCCAGTTCCTTTTCCATTGCATAGAACGCAGCCTTTCCAAATTCATTAACATAACACCTGTATTGAACCCTCGACCCTAAAATAGTGGCTTAGTGAGTAGATTCCACAAATAAGATGTGTAAAACTTAATAAAATCAAAATCCAGCGTTAACAGCACCAAAGCCGGCCATCGTACTGGCCTCGTGCGATTCCCCACTAGGTACCAGTCTGACAGGTTTTCGACCAGTCCAAATGCATTGTTTCTGTTCATCTGATCCCACGAAGACCATAGGTCAACCAAATCACCAACAACCATTACATCAGTATCCAATACTAGAAGCTACAAAAGCAACAGCTTCGGTTCCGATCAGAAAATACATTTGTATATATGCTATACAAGAATGATTAAAATAATAATAATAATAATTTTAGATAAATAAATTGTGATACGCGGAATTAATCAAATTTTGCTTACACTCTGCTCATACTTAATGTTAAAAAAATTTAGAAAACTTTAAGTATTAAATGTCTACATTTTAAATATGATCAAGCAGATTTTTTATAGCTTCGGCATTTAATCAATTTCACTGGCATTCTTTTCAAGCCGAGTTTCCCAATAATTAAACACTATTTATGTTACTGAATTCACAATCACTAATCGACGCTAGCAGCGCCACTTCAATACTTTTCACATCTTTTTTTTTGATTTATAATCAAACACGCCTAAGACTCACAGAAGTATAAAAGTCATAACTAATTTGCAATAAATTCCTAACTGAAGAAAGCATTAATTTTCAAGACTGTCAAAAAAGTTTACGCAAGTGTGAATGCTATAAAGTAAAATTGGCAGAAAGCATAAACAACAGGTTCATTGAAGCAGTAGCCAACGCAAGGTTTTAAACTATTGGTCAAGAACTCCAAAAGTCCACCAAAGCAGTTTCATTTAGAGAGGCTGAAGATCAAATTTTATCATTAGAAGTGTCTGATATTCATCTCGTAGAAGTGCCATATCTGCCTACTTGTTTTTTAAGCAATGGGGATTTATCCCTCTTGAAGTTTCGCCAGACTACTTATAAAGTAAAAATAAGGTTTTAAAGCAGTTTTTCCATATTGAATAAATAAGTATAATATAGCAGTAAGTTGGGTAAAAGCAATTTGAATTAACACGTTTGAAAAGCTACTTAAAAGTTACCTAATTTGTAGGTTTAAAATAAAGAAACTAGTTGAAGAAGGCTAATTTATCCCACATAAAGTAAAATCTGTCGTTTAAATAAATTATACAACTTGCCGTACAGTAGCCAAGAATATAGTTTTAACATGATAAGAAAATTTCAATACAACAAAAATTAACGCTGTCAAGCACAAAAGAGAAATTTTTACTCAGTAGAAGTGCTGTTGACACAAACAGAAAGGTGCCTCATAACAGTGTATATGGATTCATCTCAAATGAAAAATTCAGCATTTTTACAATTATCACTAAGCTACCAATTATGAGCAATTTTTTTGCTGCAGTTTGTTTATTAGACCTGATATTTTCAAAGAGGCTGTGGCTATACTTTGTTTGCAGTCTACTGCCTGTTTTAAATCAAAAAAAAAGATTTTTGATTTTTCTGTAATTGAACTCTGTAATTGCCATTTATTATGGCAATTACAGAGTTTTTTACTGCAAATTAGCAGTGCGATAGTAAGCTTTGATGTTTAAGGCAGAACTAAAAGAGGAGTTAAAAGAAAAAGAGAAGGCTTTTGGTAGTAGTTTTATTTTCTACAACTATTACTACAACAGGTTTACGAGTGCGCTTGATCTATATTTTTAGATTTCAGTTGTTTACTGTCTAAATCTATCCATGTATAGCTTAAGAAAATCAAACAATAACAGAAACACCAAGAATCTAGTATACATAATTCGATATAACTGAATAAAATCACCTTACTTTTTTGACCGATTCAGATAACACATCGGTAAGGATGACTTTCATTAGGCCATAAATACCAGAATAATGTTGATTGGGTATCCAGTCAATCTGCTTCTTCAACAACGAACTGTCGTAGAAATGAACGTCAGCTGCAAACGAAAGAATTCGTGATTCCCTTGCTGAAGTTTTTATTTTTGAAACGCTAACAACGCTTTTCTAAGATCCTAACGCACAGACCTATCAGTACTATATGATATTTGCCACCAAAATCACTGTTACAAATCGAAATTGAGAATAACCAAACGAATAAACGAGCTGCAGGCAAAGAAAGTAATGTGATTACCAAAAGGCAGTTTCCAAGTTTCAAAAAGTTTAGCCAATATTTTTTTAGATATATCGTTGACAACAAAGTGAAAGCTGAGCGGATTATGCCGATTATACAGTATACTTTTCAACAGGATCACTGTCCTGGAAGCCGCACGCTGGCCAGCACAAACTACTGCAATTTCGATGGTCTGTAAGTGAAATGTATTAACAGTTCGTATATGTGTGTCCGCAATTTTTTTCATTTGCTGCAGCAAAAAATAATTTTGAATAGTTCCAGAAAAATTCCTTTCGCTCCTCAGCGAACCAAAAAGGACCAAGAAACTATTAATTTACAGCTACCAGAAAAGAATCTTTTTGACATACCTCACAAACTAATGGATTAACTGATGTTAAAGAGTGACGGGCAAGTCGGTCTTCCTCATTTCTCTTATCTAAAACAGATAAGCATTAACCAGGATACACCATAATCAAAAAATAGGAAAAGAAAATGGGTGAAAAAAATCCAACAAGACATCTGTTTTAAAAAAGCAGCTAAGTATCTACGTTTCGCTTCAGAAAAACTGACTACTTCATTTTTTGAACCACCAACAATCGTTTTCTTTTCCTCGTTGTCAAAATAAATAAATAAATAAATAAGATCTAGAAAAAAACACAAGGAAGAAATCTGATAAATCAATAGCGTCTCAAAATAAATCTGTTTTTATAATACAACAACAACAACAACAACAACAAAAAACACGAGATAATTTATTCCTCAAATAACGTAATAACAGACAGTTTCAAAAGGCAATTTCTTTACAACAGCATTTTCTTCACATGTTTAAAAGTGTTTCTTTGGCCGGTTTTTCAACAGAATTTCAAATAGGATAAAAATTTGATTGATTTAAGAGGAAATACTGCAATAAATATGAAACCCCCCATCCCCGCGGGGAAATTACCAAAATGAAGAAAAAAATGAGTTTTTTATTCAAATTTCCTCAACTTTTCCTTACGACAGAACCATGTTTCTTCCGTCTTTTCTAACTCTCTACAAGTCTTTTTTTTTCTTGGAGTACCGAGAAAGCTTGCTAAATAAGATCCACTAGAAATGTAGCGGTCATCAGTGTTAAAAGAAAAAAACTAGTTCCTAAAATCTTTCAAGGACTTCAAATCTAAGAACTACCCTAAATAGTAACATTCTGAAATATCGAACAGATCAGATGACAAAACCAATTCAAAAAGCTAACCATAGCCAACCACAACCATTAATTTAACAGCCAATTTTCTGCCATTTATTAACGCTATAAATGCTACTTTTTCTGATGTACATGAGGCAAACTCATGAGAGTTGAAAACAAAAATTATAAAAACGAAATTGTTCACTTACCTTTGGAAAAGAAACGATAATACAGTAAAGTAATAAGAATGGTTAAAAGAGCCACATAAACAGTGAAACAGCGTCGTCGCTTTTTTCGCATAATACTGATGCTGAAATTAACAAAACAACAATTGAAGAATGCCTGCAGAATTAAATTAGAAAAATTTTTTGGTATATTCAGCTGATCAAAAGCAATTTCATGCATTCGTAACTATCGCTTTTTGCAATCAAAAATAGTCTTCCCTATACTCTATAAAAAAAAAGCAAGAAAAAAGCAAAGCATGTTCAATACGTCGAACAGACACTAAGATATGATTCATATAAAACGAATAGATGCATGACCCAGCCTTTTCCCAATCCGACAAATTTATTTTTCCCCTCAAAAATCTTTTTCTTTTCATGAGTTACCACAGATTTTTTTTTTTTTTTTTTTTTTTTTTTTTGCCAGTAATGCAAATTTGTGAACTCTGCCCAGAACGGTAAATGAAATAAATAGTTTTTTTTGTTTGTGGCAAAAAATTATCATATAAAGCGCACTCACTTGTACAAATAATTTTTCAATTTTGACTGAAATGACAGTTTTTATTAATGGTTACTTGTTTCACTATTATTCCCCTTCCTCCCCTTGGGATAAATACAATCTACTTAAATCACCAGTTCCAATAGTACTACCAACAGCAAAAACACAACTGAGAAATGGCAGCAATATTAAAAACAATACCAATTTAGAGACACCCCTTCCTGCTACATATACCAATAAAGCAAAAAAAAAAAATTTGATACAGCCTTGTGTAAACATTTATGTAAATAAAATGTTGTCTATCTGTATCAGAAAACAAAATTTTAAGACGTTACAGTTATTTTCACACAGTTAATAAAATTTGAATCCCCTTTTTTTCCCTAGTTTCCTTAAACCAACTCTTCCTCCTTCCTCTTCCATCAAAAGAGGTGCTGCAGACGTTTGTACAACAATAGTTAAAGAAACTGCACAAAAAACCGTTGACGATAGATGGCCCTATCAAATAATCACTTTCTGGCTGATAAACTGTTATTAAACCAAAACGCCAATTGAATAAAATTGGA